TTTCTGCAAACAAAATTATTCTGGTGAATAATAAACAAAAATGGGATAATCTAGTGTTAGCTGATGGGAACAAGCCTCCTGCAGATATCCATGAGTTCAAGTTGGCAAGTTCCAGTACTCAAGAGTGTCGATGAGTGTAATTTGGAATTGTACTCGGTAAGTGTCAATGAGTACTGCGTACACTTATAACGGGTGCATTTGATTATATTTGAGGTCAAAGTTCAAGGTCATTGAAACTATGAAGAGGTCTTCAGTTTCCTCAATAGTCCAACTGGTGGCTTGCATATATGGAATGATGATACATGGGATTGCTTTTAAGAACACCAACTAGCCAGAGGTCAAGGTCATTTCAAATGGTAGCACCTACGTAGCCAATTTTGTGTCACTTTCAGTGTAATAGCAATAGGTCAAAGAACAACTGTCTGTACACATTACTTCAGAACATTTAATTTGGTTGTTATGGTTTGGTATGATTCAGATATGTGTGATCTATTTGATCAGTAGAAATTGTGGGAAACAGATAAAATTTAGTCTTTTCAATAGTTTTATGAAGAAGGGAGCAGTTCTATTTCAATAGTCTGAAAATGGAGGAAACAAGGAGGTGCCTAAAATGGTCAAGATGTATGATATTATTGGGCGGGGGAGTGTGTTGGCAAAAATTTCAATGTGGGAAAAAAGATCTTTGGCAAAGCTTTCAGAAATTGAAGTCACTGTAGATAATAAAGCAACACCTTGGCAATATGTTTAGCTTATTTGAGTTTTAAAGTATTTTCGGGAAAAAAGGCATCTTGGCATACATACGTAGTTATTTTGGCATCCAAACAATGTGTGGAAACTGAGAGGCATTGGCAAAGATGAATTTCAAACAGTGTGGGAAGAAAGGAGGCACCTTGGCCAAGATCATTGCTTATTTGAATTTCAAACAGTGTCGGCAGAAAGGAGGCACCTTGGCCAAGATCATTGATTATTTGAATTTTAAACAGTGTAGGAAGAAAGGAGGCACCTTGGCCAAGATCATTGCTTATTTGAATTTCAAACAGTGTGGGAAGAAAGGAGGCACCTTGGCGGAGATCATAGTTTATTTGAATTTCAAACAGTGTGGGAAGAAAGGAGGCACCTTGGCAAAGTTTGTGTGTCTACTTAAACTGCTCACCATCATATCGGTCTGGATAACTTCTGTCTACTTTCAGCTCAAGGTTAATAATGAAAAGTGAATTGTAAGTGCCAACATTGTTGGTTTTCCAATAATTCTTGAATTCATAATCATGTGCTTGGCAAGAGTTATGGGGTGTTTCTTTGCTTCTTAATTACACGAAGATTTCAATTTGACTTGTAAAGAAAATTGAGAATGTTATTTGGTGAGGGATGAAGGTTTTTATATCATTTCTCTGTTGGTTGGTATTTTCAAAGCTTCTTAATACAAGCACAGGTTTTCAATGGATTATTTTTAGATGTTTTTACCTGTGTGATGCAAAATGCGTTATTTCCTGGAAATTTAGTTTTATGTTCAGAATGATACCTGAAAATTAATTAGTGTGTTTTAGTCTGCCTTAAGAAACCTTGTATAATTGGAAAATATGTGTTCTGAGGGCTTTCACTTAGGTATAATATTTGTATACATTTGTATATAAATTCACCCTGTGTAATCTGTAATTGTAATATATTTGTATCTCTGGTGTTGCATTTTAGAAAGGTTTTGCTGAAGATTTCTGTTCATCATGTCTAATTTCTGACTAGGTGAAACATCTAATTATACCTTCTTTTTAAAAAAATATATGGACTTTGTTAAAGAAATTGAATTTCATTAAATTAGCGTAAATTTCAACAAAATTGAGGCTTACAAATGTCAGTAGTAACCAGGTTTATGACATCACATTCTGCCAAGTTTTCCACTTGTTTAAGTTGGTGTAGGGTTATGGTTTTTCAAACAGCATTTCGTTGATTAAATAAACCAAGGTGTTGGGCCAGAGTCTGTACGATACTGTTTGGGGGAGAAGGTGTTGGGCCGGAGTCTGTACGATCCTGTTTGGGGGAGAAGGTGTTTGGCCGGAGTCTGTACGATACTCTTTGGGGGAGAAGGTGTTGGTCCGGAGTCTGTACGATACTGTTTGGGGGGGAAGGGGTTGGGCCGGAGTCTGTACGCTAATTTTTGGGGGGGAAGGTGTTGGGCCGGGGTCTGTACGATACTGTTTGGGGGGGAAGGTGTTGGGCCGGAGTCTGTCCGATACTGTTTGGGGGAGAGGGGGTTGGGCCGGAGCCTGTACGATACTGTTTGGGGGAGGAGGTGTTGGGCCGGAGTCTGTTTGATACTGTTTGGGGGAGAAGGTGATGGGCCGGAGTCTGTACGATACTCTTTGGGGGAGAAGGTGTTGGTCCGGAGTCTGTACGATACTATTTGGGGGAGAAGGTGTTGGGACGGAGTCTGTACGATACTGTTTGGGGGGGAAGGGGTTGGGCCGGAGTCTGTACGCTAATTTTTGGGGGGGAAGGTGTTGGGCCGGAGCCTGTACGATACTGTTTGGGGGCGAAGGTGTTGGGCCGGAGTCTGTCCGATACTGTTTGGGGGAGAACGAGTTGGGCCGGAGTCTGTACGCTAATTTTTGGGGGGGAAGGTGTTGGGCCGGAGTCTTTACGATACTGTTTGGGGGAGAAGGTGTTGGGCCGGAGTCTGTACGATACTGTTTGGGGGAGAGCTACACTATCTTACTACACATCTTCCTATACCTCAGCTAGATAGCGCTAAAAACATAGCATTTCCTTGTAGACATTTTTATCTAGACAGATATCTTGACTTTAACTGTAGTCATAAAAGGATTGAAACTAAATGGGGTCGCTGAGGGTGATTTCACAAATCTACTATGTTGAATCAGGCGCTGGCATGTTTCGTTGCCGTTGGCATACGATTACACATGCAGGAAATTTGTTGTATCTTGAGATACCCCTCATGGGGAGTTAACTTGAATTTACAAGTCTTAGAGTTTAGGATTTATACACCATGGACAATATGAGTATGAGACTTACATTTTTTTACTGAAATTTTGATAGACTTAACCTTGACAAAGATTTTTTTTTTTATGTATTTGGTGTTCAATTACAAGTAATTTTACAGAGATTTTTTTTTTCGTTACTGTTGCATATCATTGAATTCTATACATCATAGGATATAACTCTGTAGACAATCCGGTCTATAGAGTAAGTGATTTCCAAGTCTGCAGTATTTTTCATAGTGATTTTCTTATCAATAAGTTTGAACACTTATTTATTGACTGTATATTTTAGACCACTGATAATGTGAACAAGAGATTGTTTACATGAACCAGTGACTTTATGCGTGAACTACAAACTGTTCACAGGAATCTTTGATGTTTATATGAACCAGCGATTCTTTATGTGAACAAATAACTTTTTATGAACCAGTGACTCTTCATGTCACCATTGACTGTTTATTTGAAACAACAATTCTTAATTTGAACCGTTAATTGTTTTTGTTAACCAGTCATTATAACCATAGACTGTTTACATGAACCAGCGATTATAACCATGGACTGTTTACATGAACCAGCGATTATAACCATGGACTGTTTACATGAACCAGTCATTATAACCATGTTTACATGAACCAGCGATTATAACCATGGACTGTTTACATGAACCAGCGATTATTTATTTGAACCATTGAATGATTATGTGAACCAGTCATTATAACCATTTACTGTTTATTTGAACCAACAATTCATTATTTGAAATGTTAATTTGAACCATTGACTGTTTATGCAAACCAGTGATTGTTAATGCAACTTTGACTTAATGTGAACTAGCTATATATATATAGTTACTCCTTATGTTAATTGGCATGAAGGGTAACTAGGTAATTGTGACGAGGAGTTGAGGATTGTGTCAGATTACGAGTAGAATGGCCAAATTCACAGAATTGTAGTATCTCCATTGCTGTAGAGCTATGTGTATTGATTATTCGTGTTATTCTTGCAGAGTCAGCATCTTACTCGGTCACATGATTTTGTCGCCTCATCAGTCAGGTGTACTGTCAAACACGTAGAAAATTTAGAAGTCCCGCACACATTTTGTATTAATCTTCATAAACCTCAGAACACATTAGCTAAAATTTGAAACTTTGCAAATTGATAACTATGGAAAAAGCACAAATCAATTTCAAGATATGCCAATTTTGTCATACTGCTTTAAAAACTGGAAAATGTTTATCTCTTTTTGCCACAAGGTTAAGACAAATTTATGATGACAAATACTTACACAGTTTACATGCGTAACATTTCCACTGTGAAATTTGAAATAAACACTTGGAAAGTATGATCATTAACATGTTAATATTTTATTTGAGGAATTGAAAATACTGTCCATTTTGCCTTTGGGTTTGCTTTGTAAACAGGCAAATATTCTATAGCTTTTTAAGGTGACGATGCTTAAGGTGATGAGGCTGAACTGCTTTGTAAAATATCAGTATTCAATTATAGCCTTTAGCTGAGGTGGATACCTGATTTGATTAACCCAAGAAAAGATATATTGACCGAGGACCCAGTCCGAGGACAATATATCTTTTCTTGGGTTAATAAATCCAGCAAAGTTAAAGGCTGCAATCGTTTTATTATTTTCAAAATACTTATGTAAGCAATCTGAGAAAAAAAACGTAACTAAAAAGCTACGAAAGTGGGACGGTGCGTTTCTTTTAGAGACACGTCATAATTCTTTTTTTAGAAACACCCAGTCCTTCTACAAAAATCACACGCTCAATATCGATTTTTATCGATGGACATGTGATGCACTTTTGGCCAATCACTTGTCGGGAATAATATGAAAAATTAATAATATACAATATTTAGTTACTTTTGAATCTTCCCCAAAGAAGCTGTTACAAAATGGTGAATGGTTAATTGTTCAATTGTTGATGGTTTTTGTCTGTAAATTCATTTTAATTGATGATCACTGTCAATGTTAAAAATATTATCTTATCTTTGTATTTTCAGAGGTGGCTGGATCCACTGAAAACAATTAAGAAGCAATGTCGAGGTGAGTACTTTGGATGTATTGGGTAGTTAGTTACCTCCCCTTTTAGGCAAATTATCTCCCCTGAATCATTTAGCTTGTGACATTAAGTAAAAAAAATTATCAGTCACTCCTGTGAATAAAACAAAATTCATGACTTTAGGAGGACCAGGGAACTAAAAGAAATTGTTCTGTACCTGTGTTCCTGCGCATTAGATCCACTTAAGTCTATTTATATACCTTCCTTCTGATATCCCCTTCTCTTCTAAAATGCAAGACTGCAGATTTTAATTGAAGATAGCAAAGTAATTTTGTATAAAGGAAATTTGAAAAAGAAAAGTATAATTTGAAGAGAAAGTGAACCACATGTAAAAGTGAATTTTTGGCTTACATTCAAGAAAGTCGGATCTGATTATAAACCCGTTGGTTTGTCATAATTGCAATCTCTTGTATCACCGCCAAATGAGAACCAATCTTATTGTCGAGATTTGCCGGCGCTGTCATAGAAACCATTTTCAAAATTCCCGAGCAAGTTGAAAATTAAATAAGAAAATTGGTGAACAATGCGTGGCTTCGCTACCTAGTACACATTGGACTTATTTGATTTCTGTCTTACTTGTGCTACAGATAATTGCAGTAGTCAAAGGTGTTAATTTCCTGAGGAAATTGTGAAATTTCATTTAAGAAATCAATAGGCAAATTGTATTTAAAGTAGATGCAATCATCGGAACATGGTAATTGTTCTGGAAAATGTTGTTTATGATGGTATGAACTGTAATTTACAGTACCTTGTTACTTACTGTATACCGGGAAAATTTTCACCAGGCCATCCTTAAAATATTTCTTGTTTGGTATTGACCGACCCACCCTACCAGTGCATGGGTCGGTAGGTAGGAAAAATATTTTATTTTATTTGAACAAATATAAAACAATCATTTTTAAAATTCAATAAATTTTGTTTAATTCACTTTGTGAATCAATGTCAACAGCCACTACAACAAGAACCATATAAGTAACTTGGAATGACTAATATGAAATCATAAAGATACCAATGTACTTCTCCTATAACATAAGGGGCTGCTGGCCGGCCGTTTTCTGTCGGATATGATTTTGCCGTCTATAACCCTCATTTCCGAAGCACTAATTCTTTGATGCAGATCCGCCCGTAATCCGGGCGGAACAAAATCGGTTTGAAAAACTCACTTAATTGGTAATAACAGTTCATGACAATAATGACTACTCACGGTTCATATAATAAAGATCTCATATGTATACCAGAGACACAAATATATAGTATATTACAGAATATAGCACTCAAAATACATGTCCATGTCGTAGCACTTAGAACTACAACATGGTTTCCTGAGTTGATACAAAATAGCAGGGAGAATTTCAAACAGAACAAAATACAATTGAGTTTGTTTGTATTTTGCCTGTAGAACATCACATGTAACCATTTTTGTATTAACTGGAAAATCATGGCAAATATTGTCTGTTTCACTTCAAAAGATGAAAATCTCATTATTTGTGTATTTGACACGAAATTCTTCTTATCTAATTATGGATTTATAGAAAGGAATATTTATTGGACCCTGTTGAACATTTAAATGTAAGTAAACACACTATACTTTTTAAAAATCCGAACATTGAAAATTTGATCGTCAGCATCGGGAAAATCAGCTATGGGCAGTTAGAGGTTACACGGCGCCTGTTAAATTATCATGTCAAAAAATCTCGCCGTGTAAAACCTCTAACGATGTTGGAGTACGTCAGTCAGTAGCTGCGATAACGTAACTTTCTGACGACGAGAGTTTTTTTTTTTTATATATTGCGTCGTCAGATACCCGGCTGGGGCAGAGGAGGCCGGGTAATAACCCTTAGGCTGCTACATTGATTTCTATGTAAAGGGACACCACTGCTGAATTAAATATTGAAATATAAATTAATTCACTTGATTTTTCAAATGTGCATAACTTGAAAAATATTTGTTATATATGTGAATTAAAGTTATAAGAAAATTGTTCGTTATTGTCTCTAGTTTATATTAACGTTTTCAATTCTAAAGTTGCTTCAGTATTTACCTGTACAGGTGGTAATAAAGGTAAGAAAATGTGAAACTTTTAATCAATCGGATTTAAGCACCAGAAAGATCATTTTAAAATTATTTTTATCAGCAAATGTGATTGACAAATGCTAACAGAGATTATAAACTTCATTTATGACATAAGACGCTGTACATTTACACGGAGACTCTCAGTTAAAAAGGTCAGGTATTTCATCAAGAATTGCATGCGATTTGCTACAGGTTTCAGGTCGTCATTCAATATATTTACTGTCACAGTCGGCATATAGATATATCTTAGCTACGGTCTTACGGTCTAGTTTATGATTAAATCATCGATAAATAGTTTGAAGAAATCAATCGGCTCAAAACGTATAAATGTCAATGTTCAATTCGGCCTCACCTGCAGACGACATGTGCGCCTCGGTCTGCCGATATTTTTATGTTTGCGTAGGGCACAAAGCCGTTCATTGGAAAGTTACATACTATGTTACACCGAAGTATTTCCACAACAACCATGTCAAACCCTTTAAAACCTTTGTTATCATCGTAGGTGACGCTGGAGAATAAATGTTTACCATCATATTCATCACTTCAATCTACACGTCCGCCATTTTTATGACAGCGGTTTATATTAGTGCTAGTCAGTCAGGTGTTTGTTAGCAGTACGATCCCGCATTAAGCGTTTTAATGACATTAGGACTAGGTAAAACTAAAAAGGAACCAAAATCCGGAATGTTTCGGATTCCGGAAATAGCGATCGTAGATAAAATAAAAAATAATAAATCAGATACGTACAATATTTTTATTTAGGCCCCACCGATTAATTTTTCGCCTTTTCCGCCCTCTCCAATGAAAGAGAATTTATCATGACAGCAAATTTCAATACACAACATGCAATATATTGTTATAACATGTGAAGGACGAAATTAACCCAGGGAGAACATGGATTTTATCAAAAAAGGGCAAATATTTGACTTCGTGCAAGTTTCCTTGTAAACAGTATTTTTACTCATTATTGTTCATGAATGTTTGATTTGCGTAGGTAGTTTGTTTTAAAAAAATAAATGTAATTAAATAAATGTAATTAAATAACAGGAAGTTAATTGTTCTTTAATGCTTTTTAAAGAGAGTATAACTTTTTTCAAAATTATATTTTATCATTTCATTTTGTAATATGTAATTTACCTTCCATCATGATTTCCAAGAAGTTTAAAATATTTCATGGTTCACATTGACAAAGTGAATATAAAGCACCAGCACTCAATGTAAAGGAAACGGATCACCAGAGCAAAATCAGTTTGAAAAGCAAGCATGGAATTTATGAAACCACACTATTGATTGTCACTAAACTCTTGTCTGCAACTCCAAATTTAGGACTAGGTTTTAGTGATTTGGGAGACACGAGTTCACTATAAAACCGCTACGTGGAATGGATTTGGGCCTTACTAGGATAAAAGGTTTAGAGTATAATGTCTATCGGTTATAGGTATGCTGACATTCTCTAGCCAAAAAGGAAGTGGCGTGTCACTGAACGGTATCACAGAAATTTAATTCAAACACTTTTCTCAGTTTGAGTATAGGTTACAGTAATGAATGTTTCATGGATTGTTATTCTGCCCCATAGATTGAAACTGAAAATTCTAGTAAATTTTTTGAATTTCCCTACAGTCGTATTTCTAGGCTAGGAAAAAACAAAAAAAACACAACCATTTATACAGACAGATATCAGATGTAATCATGCAATCTGCAGCCATTTTTATATTGTGTTAAATTTCTTACACCAAAATAAATTTACTGCATCAAGAAAACTGAAATATAGAGCTAAACATTTCTTGATGGATATAGTGATGTTAGAGAGGTCTCCTAACTTGTAGATACTAAGGAAGGGCTATGGTGTACATCTTAACACATTTGGACCGATTCCAACATACATTTGTTACAAGTTGTGTAACACATGCTTCTGTGGAAGTATAGAGAAAAAAAATTCTCATCCCACTTTCTTCACCGAATTTCTCCTTCACTCTATCTAGCATGAAAATCTGACCTGTTTTGATTCATAGGTCAGTTAATTCCTATATTGGTATTTAATGAATTTTGAAAATAGGTCATATCACATTTTGGACCTAGGAATCTGATGCTGCCTTCAGGCGAGCCTTGACAAAGCCTTGCAAGGCCTGCATAAACATTTGCAGGTCCGCCAGGATTTACACCCGAAAATGTTACATTTAATTAAAAACAGACAAACCAGTTGAGCCGGAAGTTCAGGTCAGTTGGTCAAAGGTCACATGATATGTTACTAAAAATAGAAATTCAAGTTACAAACAATGTCTGTCTTGAAAAAACTCTTCTGACAGCTTCTGACTTTGACAGTTCTGTTTGTCAGTGAAAGACAGATTGTGAGTAGACGATGCTGGTATATCCTGTTGTATAACATTTCAAATCGGGGGAGACATCAATATTCCTGTTACTATGGACAATAACAGTATCTTGTTTCAAGATTCATAATGTCATCAGGTACCTCCGAAGTGCATAGCTACATCTCGGTACAAAATGTCCTGAACTACACAAACCCTAGCTATGCTCATTGTGCTGTATAATGTGATTGGATAACCTGTAAGTGCTTCAATCAGAAACCCGTCATTTTTTGTCGCTTAGTAATTACGATTATAATGATAAGTTCAGTAGGACTCGTTGGTGTCGGAGCACTTTGCGAGAACTTCAATTGTGACCCGTTCAACATAGATTTATAAAGCTAAAAGACACCTGAACATATCTGTCACATTTTGACAATTTTGTCCTCAAATTTATTTTTCTTAAAACTCATTGGAAATTTGGTGATTTAAATCTAAGAAGGGCAAAAATGAATTAACAAAGGTTATTTATGTAGACAGTATTAAAATAAAAATTTAGATTTTTAGTTGGCATTCAAATGATTCTAATTTTAACATACAGAGCAAAATCTTTTTCTTGTGTGTTTGATAAGAATTGAAAAAAAAAAATTTTCAATTTTCTGTTCCAGATAAATAGGGAAAAAAGGAAGAGAGATTCACAGTATTCATATAAAAATTGTAAAAAAACATCGCATATCAGCTGGCTTAATTTGTACTGAGTTTTTAGTATAGGATGTAGCTAGGAATGGCTGTGACATTTTCACTAAAAAAATGTCTACTTGATTGGTCGGTGACGGTATGCAAAAAGAATGCTCTAAATAAATAATAATTGGTGGAATTTAACAACAAAAGCATCAGTGGAAACATTCACAGTAGCATTTTTCGCTCACTAGGAAAAATGACAAATTCATAACACAAATTCCAAAGTGTTGTTGTAAATTCTATAAAGCAATGCAACCATTTTGATAATGACAAACAGGCTGACATAATAGCCAGTATGAAAACGACAAGTTTGATTTCATCAAATCCATCTATTAAGCTTGAAGGTGTCAGCAGTTAAAGCAGGTTGAAAATTGAAACGGAGTATTATATAGAGGCTATACTGTGGATGTATGAAAGAATTTAAAAATTTGATTTGTATATTGTGTTTTATAAATTTTTAAACAAAGGAGTATTTTGTACTCTGTTATTTATCTGATGTTTTAGTGAAATAGGTGACCGTCACAACTCTTGTTGTTGACTAATAGTATTCGTGTTTGAATATAAAATAGATGACCGAAAATTAATTAACATATCTTCATGATTTTTAGGATCGGCAACCTTTGTTTGCACAGATATAATACTGTTTGAAATAACCATCGCTACTGCTGCTGAAAAAATCCTATATAAGGAATAAAAATCATGCTTAACATAACGCTTTTTCATATGAAATAATTACTGGAGACTATGGAAAAGCAGTCCGGACTTGTAAGTCTATTTATCCAGAAACTTCATGCGAACTTAACATTGTGAAGCTGTAAGACTTTTCAAATCCACCAATCACTTGCCGAAGCAGGAAGTAATCAATCATTTAATGTTTTGTTGTTTTTTCTTCTCGTTTCAGGTCCTCCGTTCCAGTTTTTTTTCCGTGTAAAATTTTATGTATCAGATCCTAGCAAGCTGTCCGAGGAATATACAAGGTAATTTGTTCATGGTAGCCCACCATACACACTGATGTTGATATAGAAAACTACACAGGTTTGTTCCAGCAATTCTAAAGATGGGTTCCTGTTCATTTAAACATAACTTCACTATTTAATCAATATAAAAAGTTAGTCCCCCAGTGGTACTTCACTATTGGTCTCTATCCATCAGTCCGTTTGTCCGTCTGTCTGTCCATTCCACATTTGGTTTCTGTAGGAAATCTTTATATCTGTCACCATGGTAGAATACTAGCTTTGACTTCCTACCATCACGCCTAGGGAGAATTTCTCTTTAGCTTATTCGGTAGAGGGTAGGACTAGTAAACCAGAGGTCCCGGTTCGACTCCTAGTCAAGACATTGGAAATATAATGAACTCTGTTACATTGCATTTGATTTGCATCAAAGTTTGCCATACATGGGACGATACATGCTTCATTTGAAAGTAAGCATATAATTGACACATGATTGATGCTGCTATAATGCAGATAAATTCTGATTTTTCAATGGTTTCGTAGGCTAGGTTAAATTAATAAAATGACTGATTTTCCACAAGCTTATTAACCCTTTCACCCCTATGTAACTTGAGTGAACTCCACCATGCATTAATTTGAAAGAGTCCATTATGGTCTACAGTGGTGAAAGGGTTAAGGGTTAAGGGCGGGGAGGGGGGTGTTGGATTGCACAACTTTTGGGAGATATGCTTTTGTTGTGTTGAAAATATAGATAAAATTCAAAAGGGAAATAACCCTAGAGTTTGTGGTAAACAAATAAGATTCAGCATGGACAAATTGTACTTCTCTGTGATTTCTGTCATCAATAAGGAAACAGTGCCCTCTCACCTGTATAAAACCTTGTGTGTGATGAATTGAGCTGTGACTGAAATGATGTTGTCTTCGCCAGGTAATAAAGGCCACAAACTTGTTTGATGATACGAAAATCTATTATCCCTAGACTAATTCTGTTAAGACATGAAGATTTGTAATCAGAATTGGATACCGACATGCCAGGAAAATGAGCACTTTCCTGATGACTCACCTTCTACGATTTCATGATGCATCAATATGAAAAAGGCAAAAACTATGAAAGTGTTCAGAGAAAATGTTCTATTTCTGTCATCATCTATCCAAACTCCTTTAGGCAAAAACATGCCATATTTCACTGACAAAAGTGAAATAGCTTCCATTTCGAAGGATTATCATTTAAATGATAAGTGAATGAGCTTGAATACTGCTGGCAAAGCATGAACTATTTTTGGTTGTCGTAATTTGACTCGTTAGAATTAAGGAGATGAGGGTGAAATTTTTACTTCAAATTCAAACTCTGATCAGGAGCACAGTTACACTCTGATTTTAACATTTCATCCATGTTTTCCATGAACTCATTGAAGGAGAACATCAAATATTTTTTAATCAATTAATATTTGTATGCCCCCCCTATCCATTGTGGATATTTTAACGCAGTGACATCAGATTAAAAGATTTCATTTGGGAATTCTCAGCACATAGATTATCCAATCAGGAAGATATTTACTCGGATCATTTTTTTTTTTTTTTATAAAACAGAGATTTTAGTTCAAAATGTTACATTTGAATTATCACGTAGGGACAGACTATATAGCCACATTATAGACACCGATAAAACACGACCATGATTCACTACGAATTACAGCCCAACGATTAAAACAGATATCCAGTAATTATGCTTTGAAATATTCATGATGAGCCGACGCATTCAATTTTCAATAATGAGTAATTATTGAATTACTATCTTCGTTTCACAAGCTGAACCAGTCACATCTAGGTGCCAGATGGTTATATATTAGTCGACTATCGGGAGACTGGGGATAAATATTTCATTTCCATACAGAAAATAACATGGGTTCTTGGCTATTGCAAAATGTGTACTTGGTTGAGAAAGGGTTGTCTTGAGTTCTAGGATTAGAGAAGGCTGTAACCATGGGTACTGGGATTAGAAAGGGTAACCACAGGTGCTGGGAGATAAGGGCTACTTATAGGGTACCAAGATTAGAAAAGGTTACCATAGTTACTAGGATCAGAAAAGGTTGACATACATATAGGGATTTGAAAGTGTTGCCATGGGTACAGGGCTTATTGCTTTTGAAAACCAACCACAACTTGTTGGGGAACCACTATAGAATGGGTTTAATGTGAGTCTCCAGATAACAGTTCTAGGTAGAAATATTAACTTGAATTTGTGAATAATTCTGTATGAAGACCTCTGATATGTAGCAAGATTTGCCATATGTTCAGATAAATATATCATGTAAAATGTTGTTGTGATTGTGCAGCCCTGATATTGAGTAAAATGAAATTCCACCTTCTGACCTTGTACTGTCATAATCCTCATCACAAGTTGGATGATACTCCCTCTTTTTCATTAGTGTCCCGTCAATTTGTGTGTGAAATCTACAAATCTTATACAAATGTACAAAGGAGGTATTTTCCCCCGGCTACCAAGCATCATTGCATTTGTCACACAGCAAAATATGTTGTGTCAGGACTTTTTAGAATGGCGTCATTTCAGCATGTTAACATTTTAAGGCTAATGGTTAAGCAAAGATAAAATGGTTGTTTTGCGATTCCCTTGTCAGAAATGCATTATTTCTGTAAAATGAAAATTTCTAGTTACACAGATAACTTGCTTAGTTGGGGAACACTTTAAGTTTTAAGTTTGGGCCTAATATGCTTAACTAATTTCATTCAGAAGCAGGGCTGGGGATGGGAGTGGATTGATAAAAAGAAGACAGATATAATGACCTAATAAGTAAATGAAACCACCCCATGGTGTGTCCTATCACAAGTAATCATTTTGGTTGAAGAAAATATAATTTGACCACACCTTAAATTGTATCGTTCCACTCTGATTAAAATTTTGTAATGCCTTGATACAGAATTTCCACTCGGATGAAAATTTTGTTGTGCCTTGATACAGAATTTCCACTCAGATTAAAATTTTGTAATGCCTTGATACAGAATTTCGACTCAGATTAAAATTTTGTAATGCCTTGATACAGTATTACAATTTCTTCAGAAAAATTTATATAAGTTGTTTCTATCTTTCTTTTCTTTTCTTTTTTTTTATTGAGAAATCAACAGTGTAAAAAAAATTAAAGAGTTTTTAACAAGTTCAAACATGAATTTTGAAATACCTCCATTATTCATAAAGTAGCATTGAAGTTTTAACAATAGTTGAGTTGTCGACAAAAAACCATGCGTGTAGTGAAGGACATTTGATTATCGATATATGATTCATTATTTTGTTATTTGTTTACTCGACAGGTATCATTTTTTCCTCCAAGTGAAGCGAGATATTTTAGAAGGGAGGCTAGTGTGTCCCCCCAGTACTGCCGCCCTGCTGGCTAGCTACGCAGTGCAATGTGAGTATCGTACAGGGATAATTTTCGTGGCATGACATTAGTATATGACCTTGTATTCAGTTTTAAAAGTCATGTTAACACATTCATGGAAGGATAAATAAAGTATATAAAGATACACAATGTCACCATGGTAAAACACTAGCCACTTTCTCTCGACCTGGCTAGGGAGAATTTCCCTTTAGCCCATTCAGTAGAGCGTAGGACTAATAAACAAGAGGTTCGGGTTCGACTCTTGGTGGAGGCATTGGAATAATAACCTCTGCTAAAATATTGACAAAATACTATCTTTACTTGCAAAGGAACGCTATAAGTCCCCTGGAAAACTTGGGGCACATTCTTTCCTGGAGGGGGAGTATGTCACCTTGGTAAAATACTAGCGATTCCTACCGACCTGGCCAGGGATCATTTCTCTTTAGCTCATTTTGTAGAGCGTAAGACTAGTAAACCAGTGGTCCTGGGTTTGACTCCTAGCGGAGCTATTTAAAAAGTAATAACCACTGTTACAATAACATGGAATTTCTCCTGTACCGGTAGGTACATGTTGCTTAGGGTACCTGTGGTTTAACCGACGCTTACATCCTTGGACATATATCTTGTCATGATGTGAAAGTGGTATTTTATGATGGAAAAAAACCCCACAAAAATATCCACATGAACAGCATATAACCATAGTTATTATGGAGACGTAAATAACATAAAAAAAACAATAAACAGTATCTCACAAATTTTTGGGGGTGCAGTTGGTGCAAAATTTCAGCTTTACCTCTTGACAATTGAACATTTCTGAGATTCGAATATTCTGATAGTTGTGTATTATTGTGTTTTATGAAAATAAAAAATGTTCATGTTTTGTTGATTTTGTGAAAATTTCACAATATTTTTCTAACTATTTTAGGTAGAAAAGCACGTTATAATGGGTGTGGGTTTTGTTTGTTTAGCTGAGCTTGGTGATTATAATCCAGAAGAACATCGGGACAACTACCTCACAGAATACCAATTTCTGCCTACACAGACGGAAGAGTTTGAGAAACAAGTGTCAGAACTACACAAACAGCACAGGTAACACAGGAGGTGTCATTAAACGAGGGGGAAACTGGTAAAAGCCGTCTTAAAAAATATGATGGTTGAATTAAAGTAACATTGATTATTGATGAAATATCTAGCTTTAACTGTATAGCAAATTTGTAGTCCTTTTCTCTTTAAGATTCCTCTTAATTGATAGAGAATTTAAATTTGTTTGTACTTTTTACTTTTGTGTCACTTATGGGTTTGAATCCAAGTGAATGTGCAGCATTGACTTTCTTAACATTTCAGATCATCTTTGACTGATGCTGTCCTCATAAATATGCTAATGAGTTGACTCCCTTTGGCTATCTGAACCCCATATTGATTACTATCATATTTAATGACATAAATTATCTCCCATTAGTGGTTATACAACCAGGCCAATTAAGAATATTTGTTATTGTCAGCTGTTATAGCACTAATTGTCTCCCTTTAGAGATCCTTCCACTTCTGACTTAGTATCCTATTTAATGACACAAATTGTCTCCCTTTAGGGGCCAGACTCCAGCTGATGCAGAGTACAACTACCTAGACAAGGCCAAACGTCTGGAGATGTACGGAGTGGATCTCCACAACGCTCGGGTAAGTTATCAACTGTCGCACCACACCGCTCGTCTCCCCCTCCCCTTGCTTGTGTTCTCAGTGTGTGAGCTTGTGAACCATCTGTGGAAATAGTGAGCAATAAAAGAAATATCAGCATACATCTTTGGAGTTTCTTAAACACAGGACTAGGGGCCACACATTTCATGTAGATGACTTATGGTACGGCCTCCAGTATTAGGAATAGCCTGGGTATTGCAGGAAGTCTTCCAAGGTTTCTCAAGGAACAAAAATAGTAACTTCATTGAATATATCAATATAAGAGGGAGGGGGGGNTTTGTTAACATTAAAAGTACTGTCAGTGTTGATAATCAGAAATTAAAAGAGGAATAATGAAAAATATCTGGAACTGCAGATAGATGACATAAGCCAAAATAACTCTGAAGTCTGGTGTGTATAATCAATAATATGTAATCAAGCAATTTTGAAATTTGAAGATAAATTGATAAATGAGTGGTACATATTTTTCAAAAAACGTGAATGTCATTATATGTATATATTTGGGAAATATCGCTGTTTAAAAGCTGGTAGGACGAATAATAAAACCAAAAAATATTACTACCTGTGAGCTTCAGAAGGGAATCTGAGAAGATGTGTCATAATTTTCTATGGTGATTTTAACACAAGTTGTCGTTTTTTGGCCAGATGTTATTTTACAGGATAACAAAATTATTTCATGTTTTAACTCATTCACCCCTGAAATTTCATAATGAATTATTCCAACCTTTCAATTGGAAGAGTTCAAATGTGTCTTCAGGGGTGAATGAGTTTAAGCCTTTTCTTTTGGTGAACTATTATGTCCACATTTTACTCAAATATAAAGAATAAATGCATGTTAACCTTGTTTGTGTTGTAAATTTTGGCTGATTATGAAGGAAGCATTTATGTTTAAATATCTTAACGAAAACATTTTTCTTTGATATTTTGCAAAATATGTGTAAATTTGATGTTTTGGAAATGGTGTTAAAAATTTAACTTTCTTTACAATTTATAACCATCAACAGAAATGTCTAAGCTATTGTGTTATGCTTTATTTTTCTTATTTTCCCCTGTTTTTGACTTTGCACTTTGTTCCTATTGTCTTCAGCTATTTCTTTTTCAAGTTGCTTTATTTAACAATTGAAAAATAAATACGAGATTCATATTGACTTTTGATTTTTTTTATGCAGCTGTTTTAGAACTAGGCTACGTGAAATAAAGATGGAAACTGCAAAATTGAGTTAATGATTTCTGAACAGTGATCAGACAATGTTACTCCATACAAGATCTAAAGATTATGCAAATACTCCACACAGTACATTGTAATACATTATAATTGCACCAATAAAAGTATAAGGGAAAAAAAGGTTTTAGTAAAAACAAGATGGACATTTTTCTTTTCCTTGTTTGGTTCTAATATGAACAGCTGCACTGGATGGTTCATGGTTTGTAAAATTAGGTTGGATGGATTTTCTAATCCTGATAAAAACTGTTTTGAGAGAAGGATGAGAAGAGATTTTAAATAATTCCTGTGTTATACTCTCTCCTTCTGATGAGGTAGCACATCCTACTTTTATCAGTTTCTATGTGGTGTGCATTAGTGGACTAGTAAAAAAACTGAATTATCTCCCTTGCTCCAGATTTCTCTCACTTTTATTCCTGCTTTGGTGGAGACATTTCGGCTTTATTGGTTAGATGTAGATTATTGGTGACGGTTCTCTACCTAAAACTCTTGTTGAAATATGATGGAAAATATTATTTATTATTAACTTTCTTCTTCATCTTTTTTTCTTCTCATTTATCTTCATATCAATTGTGATGTTTGTTTTGTTTTTAGGTGAGGCATATTTCTCAGTCATGAAGTATAACATTTTTAGAAATTATTTATGGATCACTTTAAGATCATTCTAAAAAATAAACAATTTTTTAATTTTGATAAATAAACAGAGGTTTAATAGAGCTTTTCTATTCAAAACAAAACGAAAAATGTCTTTTGCCTCAGGAATATAGAATATTATTTATGTAAAGGGAGATAATTCATGTTTTCGTTTTCTTGCAGTCTATGTCCATGATGACGGGTGAAATAGAGCAGGAAACCGCGTTCAATATAGTCAGTATCATTTGACACTAAGCCGCTAACATCTAACACACTAATACTGCATAGCTAGGGTATACATGAATACGTAGGAAAACTTAGCAATATTAATTAAGCGTCTGTCCTCTATCTTTTGAAAATCTGTGTTTTGTCACATCAGTTATTTTAAAAGTATCTCTCCAAATATTTTTCGGAGAAATATTAAACCTCAAAAACTTGTTATTTCAGAAACTGTTACTTGCCTGGAGTATTTTTTTCAGTGAAGTTTTGTTGATGTTAAAATGTTCTATCTTTAATGGCAACAAAACTGCATGCTTATTATTATTGATGTTTGAATTGTAAACTTTTATTTAAAAAGAAAAAAAAAGTGTGACAAAATCGGACCCCTAAAAAGGCATCTGACCTACAGCTGGTGACTGTCATTGTTATACATGTTACTAACTGTTACAGTCATTGTGTTCTGTGTCCTAAGGTAGCGTGTGGATAGCTGGATGTTCAGTGCTATGATGTGGACAATTTCATGTAGCAGCAATAGTCACCAATCAAATGTAAAACCGAGTGACAATTCATCTGCCATTGGATGATTAAATTCTGAAAATGACAAAACAAAATTCTTTTCTGCCTCAATTAATTGCTTTATGTAAAAAAACACCTTCTGTACCTAAATTATTTGCTGTATTTAAAGAAATCTTCCTTGCCATGATCAATTACTATGTGAAAAAATTCTTAACTTTTTGTATGTGTAAAATATGGTCACAAAATACAGTAATATGAAGAAAAATTATATGTTACAGAAAATGCCCACATTTGCATTTCAAAGGTTGTGTGTATGTTGTAACATTGGGTTGCTGTATAGGACTAATCACTGTGCTATATATAGCTACACAGCATCCTGAAATAACCTACAAATATATAACCTAATATGATTGTTCAACTATTTTTGAAATTAATTTGATATTCCTACCCTGACAAGAAATGCAGGTTATAGGAAAATATAAGCATGCACAATGCATACATATATACTTGAATGTACAGGTATTATCTCACAGTAACATTTTCAATAAATGTTTCATTTTTAATTGGTTCACGTAAATTCAAGTTTGCATTATAAGATGTCTGTTTGGAAAGTGAAACATGTTTAGGATCCCTGTACCACTGCCAAAAACTGTAACTATATATTTGAAACTGTTTTTTCCGACATTACCCGATAATGAGAAATGATAGAGGTGAAATTTACCAAATATAATTAACAACAGTGTTCTGAGTGTAAACAAGACAGTCGGGGCTAGACTCAGATATGAACGCTAAGATTCACACTTCTAAACTATTGCTCTAATCGGATGAGCTACCTTATTGACGGAAGTGTTCTGGCCCAATTGATTTACAAAAGGAGGTTAAGGGGAGGTTACTCCATTTAGGAAAAACCAGAGTCGGTGGGACAGGGATCTTTAAGTAATAACTATGTCTGATAAAACACATGGTAATCTCTGTAAATGGACCATAAAAAAGGAGAATCGCACTGCAATGGAAGGTGATAGTACTGCAGTATGGGGAAAAGTATGGGTCCATAGCAGTATATAGTAAACTTAACAGACCTCGCCCCATAGTAAGGTCCATAGCACTATAGTAAACTTAACAGACCTAGCCCCATAATAAGGTCCAAAGCAGTATATACAGTAAACTTAACAGACCCAGCGCCATAGTAAGGTCCATACCAGTATATAGTAAACTTACCAGATCTAGCCGCATAGTAAGGTCCATAGCAGTATATAGTAAACTTAACAGACCTAGCCCCATATTAAGGTCCATAGCAGTATATACAGTAAACTTAACAGACCTAGCGCCATAGTAAGGTCCATACCAGTATATAGTAAACTTAACAGACCTAGCCGCATAGTAAGGTCCATAGCAGTATATAGTAAACTTAACAGACCTAGCCCCATAGTAAGGTCCATAGCAGTATATAGTAAACTTAACAGAACTAGCCCCATAGTAAGGTCCATAGCAGTATATAGTTAACTTAACAGACCTCGCACCATAGTAAGGTCCATAGCAGTATATAATAAACTTAACAGACCTAGCCCCATAGTAAGGTCCATAGCAGTGTCATTAGTAAACTTAACAGACCTCGCCCCATATTAAGGTCCATAGCAGTATATAGTAAACTTAACAGACTTAGCCCCATAGTAAGGTCCATAGCAGTATATAGTAAACTTAACAGACCTAGCCCCATAGTAAGGTCCATAGCAGTATATAGTAAACTTGACAGAACTAGCCCCATAATAAGGTCCATAGCAGTATATAGTAAACTTAACAGACCTAGCCCCATAGTAAGGTCCATAGCAGTATATAGTAAACTTAAGGGACCTCGCACCATAGTAAGGTCCATAGCAGTATATAATAAACTTAACAGCCCTAGCCCCATAGTAAGGTCCATAGCAGTATATAGTAAACTTAACAGAACTAGCCCCATAGTAAGGTCCATAGCAGTATATAATAAACTTAACAGCCCTAGCCCCATAGTAAGGTCCATAGCAGTATATAGTAAACTTGACAGAACTAGCCCCATAATAAGGTCCATAGCAGTATATAATAAACTTAACAGCCCTAGCCCCATAGTAAGGTCCATAGCAGTATATAATAACCTTAACAGACCGAGCCCCATAGTAAGGTCCATATCAGTATATAACTTAACAGACCTAGCTCCATAGTAAGGTCCATAGCAGTATATAGTAAACTTAACAGACCTCGCCCCATAGTAAGGTCCATATCAGTATATAATAAACTTAACAGACTTAGCCCCATAGTAAGGTCCATAGCAGTATATAGTAAACTTAACAGACCTAGCCCCATATTAAGGTCCATAGCAGTATATAGTAAACGTAACAGACCTAGCCCCATATTAAGGGCCATTCTTAAAACCCTTCTCATGGTCAAATTCTGATTATGTGCTCAAATCATTTTTTTTCTCATTTTCCGAAATTCTGCCCTCAAGCCCTGTAAAAAAAGAGAATAATTTTTTCGACCTTCAGGGCTGGCCAATTATCAAAATGTGAAAATAATGTGAAATTTAAAATACCTGTCTTGCCAATTATTTACAAAAAGTTGCTTTATCACCTTATATGGGAATTTAACTTGAGCAAGGATACAGAATTTGAGCATGAAAATGTTTTATGATGAAATCAGTATGATTTATATGTAGTCTACATTTCATGTCTATATATCAGCCTTTGATAGATATTAAGTATATGTGTGACTATTTTTACAATACTAAAGGTTGAAAACACAACCAAACATTAAAATCTTACTATTTTTGATGAAATATGCGTCTTAATAAAGTGAAATGTTTAAAGGTATGATTAGGTAATATGCTGTTGTCCTGTATTGATATGCTTGATTTATATTATTTTCATAATTTATATTTTAATCAGATATATTTATGTGATTAAGAGAAATTTGTTGAGTGTTGTAGTGAGATTTAATGGTGGTAAACTATAACCGTGTATTAACATTATCAATGTGGTGTTGTCCTGTAATGGTATACTGCCACCTTTTGCTCATTGAACTTTGGCATTTTAAAGGGGTTTGACAGTATATCAAAGGAATGGAATTTGTAAAAAAAAAAAGGAACAAGGGACCTTGATAGATATCAGCAATAAGTGATGTGGCAAAGAGTGATAGTAAAATTAGTGATATGGAAATTAGTGATATGGCAATAAGGGGTATGGCAATACCTGATATGGCAATTAGTGATATTGCAATAAGGGGTATGGCAATAAGTGATGTGGCAAAGAGTGATAGTAAAATTAGTGATATGGCAATTAGTAATATGGCAATAACTGATATGGCAATAAGGGATATGAAAATGAGTTATATGGCAATTAGTAATATGGCAATAAGTGATAGTAAAATTGTTGATATTGAAATTAGTGATATGGCAAATGAAATGAGTGGCATTATATAGAGGTTCTTCTGTAACATGATTTGTGCGATATTTTGTAATCCTTGTCTTTGGTTACAGGATCAGAGTAACGTAGACATACAGCTTGGTGTCACGTCTATAGGATTGGTCGTGTTCCAGAACAACGTCAAAATCAACACATTCCCATGGTAAGTCATAAGTAACTGTAGAACCTTTAACATTAACCCATTCACCCCTAAAATCACATCTGAGCCTAACCAAACCAAACACTGGGCAAGTCCAGTTTAGGCATGTAGGGGTGAGCGAGTTAAGGGCATCCATGTATTCAGGTTTTGTCTCTTAGAGCGAACCCTGGGTGCAAGATTCCTTCTTCTTCATTACTTTACGGGGGCTCCATCAAAGTTGAAGTTTTTGTGCAAGGTATAGATAAAAGATAAAAGCTGATGTATGTTTTTAGCATGCGATGAGGGCTTCAAGTGCTGCATAGGGTAAGTGTGCCTTGAAGTCCTCTAGTGTTGTGCATTGTACTGCTGCTATGGGAAGGGGATTCCATTGTGTTATTGTGTGTGGGAAGAATGAATATTTGTAGGTGTCCTTTGTAGCAGATATGTATTTGTATGCGTGAGGGTGTGCATGTCTGGTTTGAGGGTCTACGGGGGTCAGTATGTGAGTTGGGTTTATGGCTACTGTTTGGTGTACAATTTTGTGAAAAAGGATAATTCTTGTGTGACAGCCCCGTGTCCTCTCCTAGGCCATCCTTGGGCACAGAGTCGAATCTTGCTAGTCCAGGCACTTTACAGAAATCAGTCTCTATTCCTTAGACATCAGATCATGACGTTGACCAACTTAAATATCCTGTTATCCATGGTTGAACTTTGATAGATGTATTTCTTCTTTTTATAACTATAAAAATCACTAGGACGCTTTCATCTGAAATGCATTGTCATATGTATTAGATACAAAGGATATTTTGATGAGCAAGTTACAGATAAAAAGAATGGCTGCTAGTATGATGCACAAAATAATCTTGAAAAATTTAACCTATATATTTCACAAATATTTAGGAAAGAAAAGCCTCTATTCTAGCTAGCAAATAGCATGTATACATATGTCTGATTTGAGTTGTAATCACTGCATCAATTTTTTTCAGGGCAAAAATAGTAAAGATTTCCTTTAAAAGGAAGCAGTTTTTCATTCAGCTTCGACGAGAAGTGGTAAGTTGTGTTATGAGGTCGATACAAATAGTAAAGCTTCAGGTGAAAGCCAAATTTTATTTCCTTAAAGGGGCTGGTCGGGGAAAAAATGTCATATTTGCTAAAATGGCATACACATGTTTAAAATACCTTCTTATGAAATGTACCGATACAAATTTTGCTGAAATTAACTCCCTAAGAGTAAACATTACAATTATATTAAAGAAATCCTAAATCGTCACCTGACAGTCTAAAACTCTCAATTGACCTAGATCATTGATGTAATTTTACCGCACGCACGTCATCAACAAGGCCAAATGTAAACATCGCGGTGAAAGAAAAAGATGCATGCAAAAGTCATGACAGGCACAAACTATCAATACCGTTATATATAACAACAACATATAGGTAGGAATACTACACTTGCATCATACATGACCTTTGAAAACAAATATTTACGTATAGTATTGTTGTCTTGTCCGCTAGTTGAGTCCGACATGGCACATGATGGCGTGCTATTGTTGTTATCTTCACTGCCTCACTTTCGAAACAACCATGTGACATATATAAATAGATCTGTGCTAAATTTACGCGGGGCTTCCCCGAGATTTCAGTGGTCAAAACTGGACATTGCAAGCAGAACTCGACCATCATATTGTCGTGGTACCTGTATAACTTTTGGAAGGCCAGTGAACGCATTTAGACCCATTTATTTTGTAATTTTTTCCCCGACCAGCCCCTTTAAAATCATGAAAATAAGATGCAGACCTTTATAATATGATCTTGGCTTTTTCTAGACAGCCTTACAGTTTTAAACTTATTTTTGTGTATTTGGATGTTATTCAACACACTCCCAACAGCCAGGGTCATACGAGGACAGGACATTTTGTGTAGTAAACGTAGGATTTTAATTTTCCAAAAGATTTCAAGCTTGTCCTGAATATTCTATCTTGTTTATGCTTGAAAACGGCAAAATTTAAAATGGGGACAAATATATTCATTGGAGAGAATTGCCTTATATTATAATTATTGGTCAAAATATATGAATTATTGTTAGTAACAAATTAAACATCGGTGATTTTCATCTGTTACAAAATAAAATTGTTCAATAGGTTTTAACATGTTGAGCTATAGGTAATGAGAGATGTGCGTGATTTTTCTGTTGACAGAACGATGCTGTAGAAAATTTAATAGGTTTTAACATAGTGAGCTATCGGTAATAAGAGATGTGCGTGATTTTTCTGTTGACAGAACGATGCTGTAGAAAATTTAATAGGTTTTAACATGGTGAGCTATCGGTAATGAGAGATGTGCTTGATTTTTCTGTTGACAGAACGATGCTGTAGAAAATTTCATAGGTTTTAACATGGTGAGCTATCGGTAATGAGAGATGTGCGTGATTTTTCTGTTGACAGAACGATGCTGTAGAAAATTTAATAGGTTTTAACATAGTGAGCTATCGGTAATAAGAGATGTGCGTGATTTTTCTGTTGACAGAACGATGCTGTAGAAAATTTAATAGGTTTTAACATGGTCAGCTATCGATCGTGTAAAAACTTATGGAAGTCCTGCGTGGAACATCACACGTTTTTCCGGCTTTATGTTCCGAATCCTCCCACCAAGAAAATATTCTCTATCGGGTCGAAGTTCCGATACAGGTAAGATGTTGGTTATAGGTGGGTATCTGTGTTAACCTACACTGACACACTTAACAGGATTTTTGCAGTGGTTTTATTTTGGTTTCTTTGACATTTTAATTTTTTGAGTAATATTTTGAATCCTATAGAAGAAGTTAGCAAAATTATGAGTGAAAATATTTAATATGTATAGTCTTAACTAGATTCAATGTAAGGTAAATAATACTGTTTTTTATGTCATTACCTCCTTTAAACCTTATAATACAAGGACAGTCACAGTGTTGTAGTCACAAACAGTTTTAATCTAAGCAATCTTATCTTGAGATAGCCTTAAATAATTTCGTCCAGGGTTCAATTAAACAAAAACCTAGTTAGCGAGTGGAAAAACAGTAGTTAGATTTTATACATAGGTTAGTTTTTAGTTGACAGGAATAGAAGTCAGTAAAATGCACGTTATCTCACAAACACCACAGAAAGCCACTTTAACTGTAACCAGTGACTTAGTTGATAAGTCTGATCACAAGCTTTGTTGGTGGTAGGTTGACTTTTATCTGTACTTAGTCTTGTTGACAATTGAATAATTATGCACTGGCTTTTTATACCGAGGACTTGTTGTAACATTTTAATTTGCGTAATTTTCATTCAGTTATAAGTTTGTTTAATTGGAGATAATGTCTAGCAGTTTTTAGAGGTGCAGATGTAAATAGATATAACTTTGAACAAAAAGCTTTTCCACTTTTACATAAAGTTTTCAAGTAAATCGCATCGTTTCATTTCTAGTTTGCAACAGAATGATTATCTCCCCTTAACATAAACATACCTGGTATATAGTTCATGATTTTGTACAGACATAACATAAACATCTATCCTTCTTTCCAATTTTAGACCTGAAATGAAAGCGAAGTTTTCATTAAAAGAATTCTGATGATATTATGATAAGATAGCCTTTCAAACAATACTACTACAAAAATAATAATAATTACCACGAAACTTAATAGGATTTAATAGGATAAGTGATGACTATGTAATGCCTTTAAGTCCATATCAGTTATGTAACAATTTGCACACAAAATAATACAAATACAAAACAAGATTACTGTTTTCACTACTGTAAACTGTAATGACCAATTGATCACCACAGGAATAGAATATTTATATATTAAAATATGTATGTTAATTTTGAATTTATTAAAATATTGAAAATCAGTTATCAAAACATGAAAATATTGTGATGAAGTTTGTACAGAATGGTTGATTCCTACCGTGTATATATATTGCCTTCTGTTTCTGCATGCTAGTGATGGCAGTACGGACAGTATGATATGTTTGCATGTAGGGATGTATTATATATACCATGTTTTTGACTGTACTTGGCCATGTTTGCTCAGCTTCCTGTTCCATTCAACAAGTAGGACATATAAACATATGAAACAAAATGTCGGGAAAAAATAAATTAGTTAATTGCTAATTTATACAGACTTAATGCAGTTGCCAATATTTGATATTTCATTCTGATGAGCAGTGAATTAATTTCTTTAGAAAAATAAGTCTGTTTTTCAAAAGTATTGAATGTTGATTTTTTTTTTTTACATCAAATGAAATGTCTTCCCTTATATTGATGTCAAATAAATTAACTTGCAAGTTTTGTATTACATTATAAATAACTTGTCATTTTTTTTACTTTTATTAAATTAAGTTTTAGAAGGAGGTATGTACATTTTTTCCTATCAGAAGGAACGGCAGTGATGGAAATTATAATCAGAATGCTAAAACATATTCTACGCAGACCTATATATTGATAATCAGATTTTTGCACGTCATTTCTTAGTGAGGAGTATATGATACCAAAAGAACTTGGTAAACTGTAAAAACAGTTCAGTAAATAAAAAATAAAAATTGTACACACAATTTAAGCAAGCCTTGTAGAAATTTCCTGTTACAGTTTACTAACCAGAAAATAACTTTTGGTTTGGGATTTTATGATAATCACAACACAAACTTTATACTTTAAAAGTTAATCTTTCAAATCATTACCATTGGAGAAGCTTTTGGAGATCTGTTTTCATCCATTCTCAATTTCATAATAAAAAAAAAACTTTTCTTTTCATAAAGTCAATATTTTGCTTTCATTTGATTTTTTGCTGAAAAATTTAACACATGCAAAGCAGTTTGAAAATTGATCTCCATAAGCACAGAATCCATAGACATTGGTTTCAGATAACATTCTTTCTCAATGTTAATTGGTTTTGGTATTTTAATAAAATTGTCTCTTTCCATAACAACAAACACAGAATTTGCAATGGGTTCTTTCCACAGAATTTTCTTGGACTGATTTGATTTATACTAAACTGTCAAATTCTAAACAAAAATTCATCCTTTCTTTTCAAAATGTGATATTCACTTCTATATAACGGAGGTAAATCTGTTTGGCTTAATTTGAAAACTTATAACTTTCTTAAAATACCGTCTAATTTTCCCCCAAATGTTTCTCATGGGGATATTGTGGGTTTGCTTTTTATATTAATTATTTTTCCACGCAAACTGCTTTTTCATTATTGATGCTGAAATTTAAAAAAAAAAGTTATTTGTTGATGTCACATTTTGAAAATTGGACAATTGATAAGAGCAAGTTTGACACGGAGCTTTGCAAGCTGATTTAATCATACCATGTGACCATCCTATCACCCAATCATCCGTACCAGGCATCTGAAATAGAATCAGGCTAGGTATAAACTCCTGTACCAATTTTTTTTCCACATTTCCCGTGTAAACCTCTTCTACCCTCTCCCAAAAACACAAAAAAGAAACCTAATTCAGGAAAAATTTTGACACCCAAACTAAATGAAGATCTATTTCCAGTGGAAAAACAGAGTTCCAGACTTTGGAAGAAAGCAAGCGGCGAACTAAAATGGATCGTTCATTTTCCAGGTGAGAGCCTTGCCTGTTATTTGACAAGAGAAAGAGGAAGTTTCCTGGCCCTTTCCAGTCTAGTTACTTACATGATATTTGTATAGTCAATCCCCACTCTGCATCGTGTAGCCATGGAGATGATTTAACGTTTGGTTAACGGTAATGGCGTTATCATGTGCATTCTGTAGATTTTTTAATTTACAAGAAAGAAAAATACTGAATAATTCACCCAGTTTTCTTTGTTTATTGTCTTGAAGCTAACTCTTAGGGAGAATTCTAATGACATTCTAACATACGTAATAGTTGTGTGCGAGAATGAAGATGAATGCTTTTTGATTGGTTATTAGTATCCGAAGTGCTTTCTAATTGGTCAATATATTTCAGAACGCAAACTGATTTGCAGATTGCTTTCTGAAATGATTTTGATTTGCATGATGTATTTATTCTATTTATTGTATGAATGAATGAACTCTTTTCTCGTTGTATTAGGATCATCGGATTTTTTCGGTAATATGACAGTTACTTAGATTGGAACATATGTGATTTTTATTGTGTAATTCATGTCTTTATTGGGGAAACAGTATTCCTTCAAAGTAGTTTATTTCCTTGCTACCCTTGGATTTGAAAAAATCTCTACTTTCTGTAAAAAGGACATGAATCCGTAACTCTGACCTCTGACCTCTGACCTTTGACTAGAATATGGTGTTGCTGTGCATATTCCCGGGGCTGTGTTAATGGTCTCCGTATATTTTTTCCTTCTATTATTTAATGGTGGATCTTGGATGTATAAAACGTTCAAACTTCTGGCTACACTGGACAAAGTAGTATGCACGGTCTGTTGTTGTTATGTTGATGTGTAGGGTTTGGCAGAGTAGCTAGTTAGCTTTCCTAGAGGGGTAAAGAATATCAAACTAGATATGTGGTTTAACTCTTTCACCCCTGAAATTTCATAACGAACTATTCCAACCTTTGAACTGGAAGGTTCAAATGTGTCTTCAGGGTTGAATGAGTTTGCAAAACAACCCAAAGATCTGTGACAAACCTGTTGACTCCTCGACTTGGATTGTTACTGAATTATCTACAGTTATGCAACTGTTTCGAAATATGTAGCAGTACATTTGTATTTGATTAATAAAATGTTATTCATTTCATCCTGAATGGAAGACAACTTGACATAAGCAACAGTGAAAGGTAGAATAAAAATAGTTTGGCAACACAAAGAGAACTTTAATTTAAAAAAAAACAGGAAGAAAATAATTTTTCAGTACAATATTGTTGTCCTGGACATCCCCCTGGACCCGATAAGCAACTAGAATTATCGGATGAAATGGACAGCGTCGGTACCAATTTCCCATCATTAAATACACTTTTGTCCACACTAAAAACATATTCTGATAGATTTTGTGTTTAAATCCAAAGAAATTTTTGGTATCATTAAACATTTTATGCATAAGAAGATGGTAATTTTCCGATCCTTTTCCTGTTCTGATTCAGATGAACGTTTTAATCATAAAATTAGATGTTTTTATAGTTCCATGTTCAGATGCCTGGTGTATAACCTTGTGTAGTGTAGTAATGTAAGTAGTGATTCAAACACTCTCAGAATTCATTACAGCATTGCAATTTTTGGACTGTTTTCTGGTGAATGTGACACGTTTTATTTGTCCACCTCTCTTCGTTTCAGTCCATGTTGATAGTTTTGTATTTAATCAGTTTTGCTTGCTTCAGAATTCACTAACCTTTTCATGTATTGACCTTTGGTTTAACCTTTTGACCTTTCTCATCAACCAATCATAAACCTTCACAACCACCCACCCTTACACAATACACAGCCTTACATCCTGGTAATTTGAATAGATAACGGAAATGTGATGACTTGCACCAATTTTAATTTTTTTAATTTTTGTTCATGTATCAATTTTCTTGTAGAAATAGATCAAATGCATGTTTAAAATACAATAGAATTTAATGAATGAATTATAATGTGACATGAATATTTCAATCCATTTGTATTGCATTTGATAACAAATCCTAATTCTAAGGATATGGGGTGTACAATGTACGAGAATTAATTATAAATGTCAATTTAAAGTTTTGTGAAGGAAAATTTAAGTAAATGTATTTGTTGGTGATATTATTTCCTGTACAGCTACTGACATAGAATTAATTAGAATTTCTATTTATAGAATATCACCTCCAGGAGTGTGAAATTAACGATCATATAAGGAAACTGATAAGATGACAGGTGATTTTCTGTTTCAGAAAAGGAAGAACAAAAACCAAAAACTGGTAACTTCATTTAATATTTAAACCATAATTTGGATCCCTTTCTTGACTAGGTCGCCAAGTAAAAAGTTTGCTCGACGGACGGTAGGAGGACATACGACGAAAGTGATTATGGAAGAACGGAACTTTATAGATGGACATCGGAATATTCCTAAATCACAAACATTCTCTGGACTCAGTAGTGATGGTACACGGACAGTTTCTGCGGGTGGCAACCATTCCTTTAATAGATACGACAGTGTCAATAACCAGATGCGGGCAACATTACCGCACGACTACAAAGTCGGGCAGACAGTGCGTGGATCTTTGCATTCGGAAAAGTCAGACGAGTAAGTAACAAAGGTGGCAGTTATCTCCCCCTTTTTACAGTGATTTCGTAATGGTTATTGGTTATAGGGGATTATCTTGTTTAGCTGAATTTAACGATGGAATGAGATGACAGGTCAAGGTAAGTGACATTTAATTCTTTTAACCCTACAGGACCTACTGAGAGGAGATATGGTTCTTACCATAACGGGAACTGAGGAAACTTACACATTCTGATAGTATTTTTTTTTATATAAATTGAATTATTTTTTCGTCTTTGCCTGCTGTAAAGCCTCTTATCTCCCCTATACTGAGCCTGACTAAGTAAATTTTCAGCCGTTTTTCCATTTTGCTTCATAATTTATTAGTTTTAATCTCTTCTGTGAAATCTAAGTTATAGTTTATTTCAATTTAAAATATCTCCTTATCCAGGAAAGTTTCCATCCTCGCATGAATTAATTGAATATATTGTCAGCCATCATGGCTTTACATGTTTTGACATTCTAAACCTTTTCTAAAATTTCTAGAATTCCCACGCTGAAACCGCAATAATTCCACATGTTTAACTTGTCTTCCATCTTTCTTTTTCCTGAAAACAAGCCAGGGGAATTGTGGGTAGTGAGAAATGGGTTTATACTTAGAAAATAAAAGAACTCTCAATTCCTTTGTGAGTCAGAAGCAGCCTTTATGCACCAAATTGAGCAAGAGTGCTTCTGGGGGCGAGATTTCTGCTGACAGTAGGCAAAGACTTAGACATCACCCAGAAACCTTTTTTTCAGGTCTGTATCAGATTTTGCTGAATGAAGATGTAGCAGAATCATTTAAATTTAAAATAAGAAAGGTATTTGAAAGACTTCCTGTATGATGTTTCAGATACTTACAGAACCTAGATAAAGGTTTTTGTTTCAGCACTCATTGCATATTAGGGAGTTCATTTGATGTGTCAGTATTTTCCATAAAACTTATGTCACATTGTAAATCAAATGATATTGTAATTATAACTTTATTATACATTGTCAGGAATGAAATTTCACAGCATTGAAAACTGAAATATTAAAATAAAATCTAATTAGCTGGAAGTGATGAAGCTTCTAGAAGTATTATATCACGGGAGAAATGAGATTTTAATGTTAAATTTTCAATGAGGTTAAATCATGGTATCTCAACCAATATTCCACATTTGGTTGTGATAAAGTTGTGAACTGTATGATATGATTTGATGATATACAACATTTGATATATAGCACCCTATCTAGCTAACATAAGCCTTTAAAGTGTTTTACAGTACATAGATATACAATTAATACAATTAGCATTTACATTAATCAATACAATATTTTTGAGGAATTCGCAGGAGCTGCCTTATCAGGCGCTAACTACTAGTCCTATGCCACCTTGCTAATATCTCTCTATGTGTGTATGCCTGCGTGTGTGCTCGAGATGTAATGTGTTCTGTTTGAAATGGGATCGTGCTTCCAACGGCATCATGCCACATCACTTGAATGCTACAAAACAGATACTGCAACATCCACCTCAGATCAATTTATACGGAATCGAACCCCAGCCACCTGCGTGGAAGGCCGGAGTGTTAACCACTCGACCAATCCGCCGTATGAATGATGATGAATGTTGTGTGAGTGTGACATTAAAAAAACCACCATAACGTTACAATTTCATAGTCTACATCTAGTCATAGTTATGATTTTCATTATTTGGAAAAATGCAGTTGATATAATATTTTGGTTAACTTTAACAAGTCTTTTTTGAAAATTCATCTAGTATCACTTGTCTATTCAAACCCTGTATAAGAAGTAAAACCTAGAGTTTCAGCTAGTTTTGACATGATGCATCTACAAATGTACGTTAAAAATGATCCTGTATGATCAAAAACATCTCAATCGTAAACAAATGTTAGTACCAGTCATGTTCGGTTGGACAGATTTTTCTTTAAGTATTTGTTCGGTTGTTTATGGTTGAACTGCCCATTGGCACAGTAAGTTCAATTAGGGTTATTTTACAGTATACTTAATGATAATACAGTTTGCTATCAGGGGAGGCCTGCTGAGGTCAGAAAAGAAAGTAAGTGAACGAAAAAGGTATGAACCATTTTAAGTTCCTGTTGCACTGCTTTTGGTTTTTAGGGCATATTGGCTTTCAGTGAGCTCACAAGGAGACTCACTTTCGGTAAATGATCTATGGGAAATGCATGGTTATCAATTAAGTGTAGGCCATGGTTAAAATGTTGGTTGCCTGACCTTGATCAATTGTATAACTGTATCTCACTCGTAGGAGTAATTTCATCAAGGTATTGAATTTGTTTGTGGCCTTGTGGTTTGTTGGGACACACTTACAGTGTATTAATGGTTCACCAGTGTTAACGTTTTACGTAACATTAACGAGGTCTTGCCTGCTCCCTGGCCGTGTATACAAGCTGCGCGTTATCTACCGAGTCCTTGTGTAACCAGTTTACCAGGTTTCCACATTGTAAACACTTAAATGGTCGGCTCAGACGTAACCCCAGATAACACAACCATTATGGTCCCATTACCTGATTAGTTATCTCCCCCTGATCAAAGCTCTCGTTCATTGGAGGGATATATCTCCCACTTACGTCCGGAGTGGGTCAGCGAAAGATTGGGACAGGAAGCTGTTCACTGGTACGATGGCTTCGGACAAATAATGTGTCTTATCAAATAAATTTCTGACCCTAGCATGAAAATTAGGATGTATACAGAGAGGTTGAATGTTGAGTTATTGAAGGAAGTGTGAAACCTGGTAGGAGTTTTTAATTGATATTTTGTAATATATTAGAAAAATATAATTGGCTGTCCATTATCCATAGTTGGGGGAGAGTATGGTGGAGGAGGAGGGGAAGGGTTATGCTAAGTAAAGATCATTCCCTTCAAAAATTGTTTAAGTTTGATACATCCCTACATTTGAAAAAAAAAAAAAATTGAGGAAAAGAACAGAAAAATCCTGAACTTTCATTATAAATAACATTTAATATCACAACACCTGTCTCTCAATTCCCCCTCTAATATTAGAGTTTCATATTGTGGCATTTGTGAAGATCATGTAGGCCTTTAAAAGCATAGCGTATAATTAGATATATACATCATGGACTGCACACTATTTATCAATACACAATAAATAGATACCCATACAGTGCATAAACTGTAACAAGTCATTATCTTTTATACAAATATTTATCTATTCTAAAAGTTATGCATGGACTAAAATGATACTTCTATTATAACAAGTATTTGTTGTGTGCAGGAGGATGTTGGTAGCGGTGGGGAGATTACCAGGCCTCGTGTCTGTTGCTAATACGAGGCCTGTCTGTTGCTAACACACCGGTATATACAGCTAATGTTTGTCTCCATTGTTAATTCATTGTCATCCAGCCAAGAATTGGATTCAGTTTAATTAGGCTTACTAAGGTCATTTTGGCGGGTATTTCACTTTTGATTGTCTGAACATGTGTTGCATACAATCCTTCTATGCATATAGCTTACCAACTAAGTTGCAAGACAAAGGGAGAGTGATTTTTTATAAACCTTTGTTCAAATAGCATAAAATGTCTTTGTAAAGCCTTAATTTTATCAATTAAAGACATGAAATACTTTCTGTTTTGATTAATGATATTCAATTAAATTTTGCTGTTAAATGATTCAGAAATAGTTCTTACTGATAAATGATTTTTAAATAATTATTCATGAGTTTTGTTGATGTTTTCTGAAGCATCACTATGACTTCTTTTTCAATTATTCCATTGTTCCAAACTTTTCGATGTTTCAAATATAAAACAAATTGAATTCAATATACAATGTGATGAATCGGTGGCTGCAAATCTGAGGTGGGAGTTGAACAGGTGAGATTATGATATTACAATTAGTGTACTGGAATAAGGTGTGGAAATCCTGTACCAGGTCCGGCATTGTCGTCGTATTGTCCCGCGTCATTAGACCACGACTTCATTATACACTGCCATGTAACGGTTTCTGTGGAGTGTGTAACAGGTTCATTACTAGCTGTTATTAGGTACACACTACCTATAGGCCACCGAATTGATTCCATGATCTTTCATAGAGAATTCCTACATTGTATGTGATTGAAATAAATCAGAGTTGGGACCTGTTTTGTGATATCAAACTATTCTGTCTACACAGAAAAACCTGTATTGTGAAATCACTTTAATTACAGGTGTGCCAGTTTGATATGACCTCTCCTTGAAAGACCACATCTACAGAACAGAACACACTGTCGATTGGGTTAAAAACTTTCATTACTGTAGTGTCTGTTTAGAATGACCTCTCCTTAAAGAATAAGCCTTCCTTAAAACCCTTTTTTGAAGGACAAACACTTTTTTCATCATTACAATAAAACTTGTCCTGAGAAACAATCCTCTTTTGCCAGTTATGTACAATATGTTTTGAGAGTATGTCTTTCAGTACTGTAGAATTTCACTTGAGAGATTAGCCCTTCTTTCAATACAGTATTATCTATTTTGAGGGAAATTAGCAATCGTAGATTTTGACTCGCCATTTTGTCAACACAGTAGAATCAGTATTAATCAGTTTTGCAAGTAAACCGGTCTCTAGAGATTGGCCCTTCTGATTGCGTACATAAATTGGACTTTATTTTACTACAATTATGAAACAAGATTTATCAACTACTTATATTAATCACTCTTGTTGACCTAGATAGAGGCAATAGACGGAGGAAACCAGAATGCCTGTAGAAAACCCATGTTGTAAGGCAGGTGACCCGGTACCTTTTCTTGTTTGATCTGGGAATCAAACCACATCCCTCTTGGTCCAACCGACCATTTCATCATGAACATCAGTTCAGCTTGGCTCAGTGATTTCCTGCCCTGATCTTGTAATCAGATCTTGTAATCAGATCCTGTGACATTACAATGCATTCATTGTATAACAATAAAAACATGATAACATTGCCTTTATAAGAGGTGGGAGGCAGATTTCTAATACATTAACGTATAGTTCTCTAGGTAACACTGGCT